GTACATGCAAACAAAACACCCACACACATAAAATAAAAATAAATCTTTAAGACAACTTCCTGTATAATTATCAATATCTTCAATGAAGGCTGGCAATCTAGAGACAATATTTGTTTTGTTGTATAGAGGAATATTTTCAATGAGGAAAGTCAAATAACAGAAAATCAACCTGATCCTAGATGGCCTCCAAGTGGCTTCACTCCTTTCCTGGATTTTCTGGAACTCTCGAAAACAAGATGATTAACTTTTGTCTACAATGACACGCCCTAACTTCCTGCATCCCTGTGACCTAGGGTTCGAACTTAGGATGATGTGTTTTAATATGGAACAGAACAACGTAAAATGGTAAGATGGTGAATTGTTATACATTTTTACCGTAATTATTTTAGTTTCCTTTCTGTGGCTGTGATAAAACACTCTGACCAAAAGCAATTGTGTGTCTGTGTGGGGGGGGTAATTTGCTTAAGCATCTAGATTTCAATTCATCCTTGAGAGAGACCAGGGTAAGAACACAAGTCAAGAACCATGGAGGGGACACTGCTTGCTGGCGTGCTCACTCACAGGCTCATGCTTAGCTAGCTTTCTTATAGATCCCAGCACCACATGCCTAGGGAATGATACCTCCCACAGTGGGCTGGAGCCTTCCACACACACTGACAGTCTAGGGAATCCCTCATAGCCGTGTACACAGACCAACCTGACAAAAGACAACTACTCAACCAACAGTCTTTTTTTCCCCAGGCGGTTCTAGGCTGCTGACAGTGAGTGCTACCAGAATGCTCCACATAATGAAAATCCCACCCGAGCAGGAGGCACCGGCCTTTGCAGCAAAAGCAAAGGTTTCCAGTCACACATTTGCCAGATTTAGGGAATAGACCTTGTCTTAGTTAGGGTTTCTGTTGCTGCGAAGAGGCACCGCGGCCCCAGCAACTCTTATAAAAGAAACACGTTAAATTGGGGCGGCTTAGGTTTTCAGAGGTTCAGTCCATTGTCGTCATGGTGGGGAGCATGGCAGCGTGCAGTCACGCTGCAGGAGGAGCTGCTGCCTGTCAATACACAGGCAACAGGAAGTAGACAAACACCGGATATGACGTGAGTGTAGATGGGACTTCTAAGCCTGCCTCCATATTGACACACTTTCTTTGTATAGTCGACGTTAATGGATATGTCCATTTGTCAAAGTTCATTGGTAATTCCCCCCAAATCAGTGGTCCGGGCACTTTTACAGATAGGAATATGGTAAAAGCAGTGAAGACATCTACTACCCAACTGATTTCATTATTCTAAGATATATTTAGTGGTGAATTTCTTTTTCCATCTTTGTGCTTATTATCGAGATGATTTCATTGACTGAAATATCCCTAAAGTTGGGGCTGGAGAGATGGCTCGGAGGACTCGCTGCTCTTGCAGAGGACCCGAGTTCAGGTCCCAGCACCATTATGGAGGCTCACCATGGTCTATAACCCCCGTTCCAGGGGCTCCAGCACCACCTTCTGGCTTCTGCGGGTACACATGTGCACAAGTACACATGTAGGCAAACATACACATGGCATAATGCATTAAACAAAGACAGGACAAAAGAAAATAAAATACCCTACAGCTTAGTGCCGAAGTGCCTTAATGAAACTGACACAGAGAAATGTTTTAGATAAACTTCGTTCAGGCTTCTGGTGTGTTGGGCGCGTGTTAACCATCAGTATCTATTAAGGCCGTCTCTACAGGTCTCTGTGAGCCTCTGTTGGCTCCATCCTCGTTTCTGAAGGTGAAGTTTTCCCCTTTGCTCTTCTTTGCCTCTTTCTTCCTGAACCTATGCTTCTTTTGCTACTTGGGGCTTCCTTATTGTTTCTCTAAAACTCCCCCCTGCTGCCATGTGACTGCCTACTGCAAGTGGCTGACCTGCCCGCCCCATCCCCCCATCCCCCCATCTCAGCTTAATTTAAGCAGCAGGGCTCTTTTTGTCTTTTCTGCTCCGTTCTCTTCCTCTGGGCAACTATAGGGATTGTCTGCCCTGTGGTCTGTCTTTTAAACTCGAATAAAATCGTTCCCAAGCTTCTGTTGGAGTTTGTTCTTAAATGATTTCATTAATGATACTATCCCCCCCCCCCGCCCCGCAAGAACACCCTGATTCTAGCAACATATTTGGCAGCTTGTTTTGGAATATTACAGAAGCTCTTCTGCATACAACAGGTGACCAGAACTAGAACTCCAGGTCCTTAGGCAAACTCTTTTATCTCTGTCTTGGAGCTGATAAGCTGTTGGCCTGGTCCTCTGCCTCCCTGGGAGAAAGAAAACACACACACACACACACACACACACACACACACACACACACACACACACAACTTTTTTTTTCTTCTTTCCCAGGCTTCCTAGGACATGTGGAGTGCACATACACGTTTCTGTCTTTCTTGGGTTGTTCGTCCTTCCTTCCTCTTCTCTGGCGCTGTATGTCTGCGGTCATGTGCTGGGAGACTTTGGAGCAGGTATGCAGGAAGGGAGGGAAACACTCACAACGTTATGTGTCCCACCATAACGTTGGGTGAGCACCAGCTCTATCGGACTGCATGGTCCCCAGCCCCAGGCAGATGCTTTTCTAACCCAGTAACGTTTTAAATCACGACTATTTGTAACAAGTTGGTTTCTAAGAGACGAGAATTTCTGCTCACATGGGGAGGAGGAAAGAGGGGGGAGGGTCGGTCACAGATCTGTTCTCAGCTGCCATACTGGGGACCAAGGTTACAGTCTCCTTCCCAGTTTCTCCATGCCGTCTCAAAGCAACAGCGCCACCTATGGGTCTTGGCGCAGTTCCTCATTCCTTCACTTCCTTCATGGGATCCTTTTGTAGCATCTTGTTACCCAGATCAAAACAAGATCCAGATGATATCATTTGACATTCCCAATTACAATGCTGGTAAGACATATGGACTCTTTGTCCTTGGGACACCGTGGAATTCCTTCCTCCTTCCTTTTTTCTGTTTTGCTATTTGGCCTACACTCTCCAGCATTTTCTCCTGGCCCAGCTGCTATCTTTATGCTATATTAACTCGGGTGGGTTTGTTTTTGTGTTTGTTTTGTTTTGTTTTAAAGAAAAGGGATGACTGTCCACATTTAATCTGCTAGATGCTGAATCCCACTGGAAATTATATACTTGTGGGGAAATGGGCTCAATTTATCCTGGAGCTGAGCTCACAATTGACAGAGAGTAATTATGTAACATTGTTACTATTTTGGCTAGTGGTGTCATCAACATGGTAGAAACTACATGACTTGGCCACCATCTTGGCTGGTGATATCATCAAGATAACGATGACCATGTAACTTCATCATCATCTTGGTTAAAGCAACCACATAGCATAAACCAAACGGTGGCACCTATAGACTTCCCAGCATACCCGAGTCCTTGGGGGATTCCCACGTAGAAGCTCCTGTGACACAGGCATTTAGTCACAAATCCCAATCTTTTTCTTTTTCTTTTCCTTTCCTAGCTGCTTAATGGGAGGAGGAGTTGCCCGGTGAGGAGGAGTTGACACTTTTAAGACAGCTAGACTGGCCAGGCGTTGGTGGGCCATGCCTTTAATCCCAGCACTGGGGAAGCAGAGGCAGGTGGATCTCTGTGAGTTCCAGGCCAGCCTGGTCTACAGAATGAGTTCCAGACAGCTAGACTGGGAAGCTCGTGCGTATTTGCAGCAGCTAGGGATCAGTCTTTCTCTGCTTTTGTTTCTGCCCTGCTGTGCTTTGGGTGCCTGACTTCCGTTTCTACTGTCCAGTTGCAGTGTGACACAGTAGCATAAGAAAAAGGAGCAGGCTGACGCCATCTCTTCCTGCGTTCTTATAGATGTTTTCTTATTTCCGGTATTTGGTATTTTGTAAATGATAGGGACTTCAATTCAAGTTCCGTGTGGTAAATTACAATGTGGCTGTTCTAATCCAGGTAGCTTTATTGATAGCCATCTCCCCTGGAGTGTTTATTGTTCTTGATTCATCTAGACTGAGAAATGTGATACAGACTAACAGGTTATACATTTGAGGAAAAGGGGGCAAAGGGAATGTTTAAGAGAAATATTGGATGTTCAACCTACAAAGGCGCTTAGACGCCCCCTTCCCCGACTTCTATGACCGCTGGAGGTTGGCTGACTTCCCTGACACAAGGGTCAGTATCTTCTCTAGGAGGTTTTTTTTTTGTAACCCATTAAAGCAAAGTCTAGTAAGAAAAGGAGGAGGAGGAGGAGGAAGAAGGAGGAGGAGGAGGAGGAGGAGCAGAGATGGGGAGATGGAATATAGAGGTGATCATCCTCCAGTGTCTCCTGGCTAGCCTGAAGCCTGAAGATGGCCCTGATGCCAGACTCGTTGCCAACACTGAGCTTACTTAACAGTTGAGCAAATGAATGAATGCATGAGGGTATCCATGCTTTCAGGGAGTGAAGGAATTCCCTCCTCCCCACCAGTGCTCCCTAGGCACAGAACCACCACACAGGCTTTTCTGTCAGGACTGGAGAGGAAAGTTGCTTCAGGGCTATCCTTCCAATAAGGGCTTGAGTTTTATCCTTGGGGCGAGGGTGTGGGAGGTGTAGCAGCCACCCAAGGGCTCCCCTGCCTGGCTTCCCATTTCCTCCCACACTTCAACGCTTTTCTTCCTCATTTCCTTATCTTTTCCAGCCTAAGCCCGAGCTGATGTTTCTCATTCTCCCTCGAGTTTGGAAGTGGGTTCCTCCTCTCAAGTCTTCAACTTTCGCTTTCAGGAACGTGAGCAGCATGCTTAATCAGCTTGTTCACGTTTTGAGTATCAGAATTCTTCCTATCTTTTCTATTTTCCAAAGATCTCCAATATGTCTCTTCTTAATAACATTATGGCTTTTTTTATAGACCAAGGACTATGACCACTTGGAAAAAGGAGACTTTGAGCTATTTCAGTTTTGAAATTAGTGAGCAGAACTCAATACTTTTTACATTGGTACTAAACAGTTTAAAGAAGACAGTAGCAATGAGTAGCCAGAGCAACGTTTCCAATGTAAGAGTTTATTCAGGTTCTGCACTCAATTAGAGGTACCTACAACAGACTACAGACAAAACCAATTAGGAAGGGCTCAATAAAAATGTTCAGAAAACAGTAACACAGAGAGTGCTCACTCTTACAGATCTCAAACAAGCTACCAACCAGGTCTTAATTTCAATCTTCATGTTGTGTGACAACATTCTTAATTCACAAGGAAGAACCAATTTAAAACAAGGGCGTCGGGGTGGGGCCTAACTATGCAGACTCCCCAAAAGAACCCTGAGAACGTTCTGACAGCTCATCAAAAGCTACATATCAAAAGGCCAGAACAATTTGTGGTGATGGGGGAACGTAGGATACAGAATGGCTAGAATAATCCCCAAATTCAAACAGTAGGTTGGGGTTGTGGGCGGGGAGCTTGTTCTCATTATCGGGGAAGGCATTGGGTGGAATGAAGGCAACCCTTACCTCAGCAGAGAGGCTTGCTCCACAGGGTCCAAAGGCTGGGTGGGCTCTGAGCAGCCCTGGAGGAACAGTGGCTTGCTTAAAGTTAGCTGCCACTAGGATGCCTTAGGGTTCCTCAGCTACGGTTCCTCAGCACCTTGCGCTGTCGGTGGTGGCTGGAATCTGACAGCACAGGGCTGCTCCTGGTGACGGTGTAGCAGCGAAGTCGAGATTGGCAGTGTCCTAAGCCACAAGCGGAGAGCCTTCTCTGGGAAAGTGGGTGTCAGCATGACTTGGAGGGAGGGGCTGGTGTTTTGTTGTGCTGGGACCTGACCTACACTGACCTGGAAACTGGGGCATGAGCTCACATACACTATTCTTGAAAGAGGTTTCAAAGGGTCATAGAGGTTCAGGGTGCCTCCCAATCCCCCACCCTGGACTCAGGGAAGGTGTTGGGGTTAGACTCTGGGGACCTGGTGCCATGGGAAGAGCCATCCGAATCTGAGGACATCGTCTCCTGGAGAAGGGACCTCTTGGTGGACTTCTTTTTCTTTTTCTTAAGGCTCTCTTGTCTCAGTTGCAAATTTTCAGGGTCTTCTTCAGTCACTGTCCAGAGTGGGAAAGATCTACTTGCCTCTAATTCTTCCCTAAAGAGAGAGAGAGACCGAGGAGAGCTTGAAACTAATTTTAGGCACACCCTGCATCTGACAGCTACGGTGTGTTTGCAGAGATCTCCAGCTCATCTCTGCAGAAGTAGCCAAGCCTTGACTACTGCCTGAGGTGTTGGACACTCTAGGCTTAAATTACATTTGGTTCATGTCCATATGCAGGAGCCCCGCATAGAAGGGAAAACCTAACCATGTGGCCCCTACCTAATCAGTCAAGAAACAGCTAACTCATGCTCACATGCCGGTGCACGCTTTGGCTCTAACCACTGTCCCCCACAGGTCATCATTCTAGCTCTATCACAGCTCAGGGTTCTCAAATTATGTGGGTCAAGGTGCATCATCAGGAATTCCCAAATGTCAACAGTGATGTGACTTTTTATTACATTTAATAGAAAAGGCACAGGCATGCCTATGATGTCACACTTATTTAGAAAATGGACTGGATGAAGTTTATCTATCAAGGATTGTTGACTTTTCTTCAGGGAAAGCATCCTGGGAACGCCATGACTTCATCTCTAGCCCACTCACTGCAGTCCACTGATTTGTCAGTTTCTCTTTTTCAGAGCATCAAGGCTGTGTTAAGAGCACTAAATACCTTAAACCTCACTTTTGTTTCACACTTTTACATAGGTTGCCTTGACCACCCTTACTCCACTCAATCAGTTTTGGTTTTCCCTAAATCACTTCGGATCATTACTGTTTCCGATGCTTCTGGAAGATGTGAGAGAAAAAGATGAACTGGGAAGAGGCTTTTAGTTATTTTTCAAACAGAAAATCCCATTATTCAAATTACTCTGTAATGGATCAAGATTGTATCACATGTGATTATTTTCAAAGACTGGCACAAGACTCAGAAGGGAATTCCCAAGAGAGGCTAAAAAATTGGCTCAAGCAGTAGAGGTAGCATGTAATAAAAAGGCTTTCCTTGACTCCCCCACACAAACTATCTTTTGCGAGGTCTGAGCTTGTGTAGATGTCAAATCTCTGGGAGAACATGTGCCTAGAGACATGGAGGCCACACCTCAAGCTCACACCCAGGACACCTGTCCTGTGAAATCTGAACTCTTGACACACTTCTCTTTTACTGTTCCCCACACTGCTACCTCCCTCGAAGCTAAGTCGGCTCTGTTTTGCTTTTCTCCACTGGCCATGCATTAGCATTGATTTGTTTTATGACAGTCAGCTTCTTAGGAAGATTAGCAGCAAGGAAAGGGTAGCAGGGGTTTTCCAGAGGTGCTAGAAGTACTCAAAGCATACACAGAGAGACCTGTCTACCTACCCGAAGGAGACAAGTGAGGAGGAGGAGAGGGGCTGAGAAGCAATACATGTATAGCTTTTGGAGGGGCTGGTCATATGACTGAGTTATAGGCAATCTCCTAATGGAATTTTAGGCAGGCAGTAATGAAATAGCAGGGGTTACTGTTATGGAAAGAGGTAATGAATATATTAGTAAGTGGGAAGGAGTTACACATATTTTCATTTTTGCTATTAGGGCTATGAATAGGCAAGGAAGACTAGACACTTTGAAGTACCCTAAAAACAGCTGCCTCTGGGAAATGGATTCCAATAGAATTGATATGCTCCCCATCTTTTTACATGAAAAAATTCATGTATTTATTTGCTCACTTTTGTGTGTATGGATGTTTTGCCTGCATGTACGTCTGTGTACCACGTGTGTGCCTGGTGACTGTGGAGGGCAGAGGAGGGGGTCGGATCTTCTGAGAGTAAAGATATGGACAGTGTTGAGCCTCCACGTGGGTCTTGGGAATGGAACTTGGTCCTCTGAAAGAGCAGCTAGTGCCCCTAACCACTGAACCATCTCTCCAACCCCATGTTTTCCACATTTAAAATGTGTTTTTGCAACTGTTATACATGATAAGGAATAAAACAGTAGAGCTTTTGGCTTTGAAGAAAAATATGAATCAATGCAGCAGATGAAAAAAATCTGGAAGAATGCTTTTGACATGTTAGGCTGAGGATTTTAAAAGGTTTTCCAGTGGCTTTTAATTTATAAGTACTATTAACTGTGTATTGCTTTTGGAATGAGAACAAAACAAGACAAGTTGCCATGGTTAGAACAAAAGGTTTCATCAGGAGAAAACTTTAAAAAAAGATTCATTTATTTAAGTGCACTGTGTGTGTGTGTGTGTGTGTGTGTGTGTGTGTGTGAGCGCACACCAGGAGATCATCTGGCTGGAAATTGGTTTGCCTTAGTCTACGAGAGTACATCTTCTACACCGTGCTGATATGCAAGCTTCTATCTCTGATAAAGGCTGCCAATGAGCCCATAGACATAAGCCATAACTGTGACTGGACATGACCCATCCAAGGGCTTTCTTTTGTTCATTAAACTAGGTGATGTATTAATTATTTCAGGTTATAGATTTGAATGAATACAACAGGGTTAAATGTCCCTTATCTGAAATATTAAGGACCAGAAGCATTCTAGAATCTGGATTCTTTGCGTATATGTAATGAGACACTTTGCAGAGGGAACCCAAGTCTAAAACATGAAGCTCAGTTCTGTTTCCCGCACACCTTTATCCATCTTGTATAAGCTAATGTATCCTATATCTCTGGCTCTGAATTGTGACTGTGGCCTAGCACCTGAGTCAGCTGCGAAGCTTTTCACTCGTGGCATTATGTTTGTTTTTAAAAAGTTAAGAATTTCTGAGTGTGGTAATTGGAATGGAGATGGCCCCAAGGACTCATAGGAACTGCACTATTGGGTGTGACTTGTTGGAGTAGGTGTGGTGCTGTTGGAAGACATCCTAAGCAGGCTTTGAGTCTAAAATGCTCAAGCCAGCACTAGTAAAACATCCACTTCCTGATGCCTGCTGATCCAGATGTAGAACTCTCAGCTGCCTCTCCAGCACCATGTCTTCCCGCCATGACGGTAATGGACTAGGCCTCTGACCTGTAAGCCAGCCCCAATAAAACCCTAACTAAGACACTGGGCATGTCGGATTTTTTGAATTAGGGACGTCCAAACTGCAACATGATAAACAGGATCCAAGAGAACACAGTGGGATAGAATGGGGAGCCAGTCACTGTGTCTTAACTGGCTCTTTAGAAGGTTCTGGTCTCACTTCTAGGGAGAAAGTGCTGAGAAACCATGGTACGTGTTTCTCCTGGGTTCAAAATTCACCTATTCAGTTGATCAAGATTTGCCAATATCCTGGTTCTCTTGCTGGCCCCCAGAGGCTTGTTTCCTACACTGTCCCTATTGTCTCTTTTGCTCTGGAAAAGGCACCAGACATTTGTCTCATGGTGATCAGGAGGCATCTGAATTGACAACTGAAGGAGCAGAAAGAAGATCAAGAGACTGATACCAATGGTCTAAGGGTCCTTGTGACTCTTGAGGACATCTTGAAAATCAGAAATGGCCTTTGTCCTTATGGACAACACAGGATATGCACAGGCAGAGGTTTTGGCTGAACGCTCATTTTTTAAGGCTTGGCTCCAGGAGAGAAAACGGGACTCTCATCTGAGTACAGGGATGAAGGGATAATGAGATGCACAGACCGTTGATTTCAAACGCCTAGCTCGCTCCCAGGGAAGCACTGTCAGGAGGGACTACGTCAGAGAGAGTGAAGTGATGTGTCCACGCAACGCCAGAAGCAGCACTGGGCCGTGATGTTTCTGTCAATGAATTCATCCCGCTGCTGCTGAGAAGGCAGTGTGCGGCTGTTTCTGCACTGTCCAGGAAGGAGGCTAAGTCACTGGGGAACCGCCTCTCCCACGGAAACATATGCCTAAATCCGTGGGAAGTCACCCAGCTGCTCAGAGAGACGATGGGAGGCTAATGCTTTGTGCAACGGGGAATAGCGAGCTGACCACAGACTCAAACAAACCACCTCCAAGTCCTGGGAAAGTCTTCCTTTTGGCAATCTCACACACAGCAGTGTCCCCAAGACCACACAGCGCCAGTCAAGCAGCAAGGGAAGCCGACACCTTCCCCTCAGGTGCCTGCTTTTCTTTCTTCCCATCAGATGGATATTTCTAGAGTCCCGCCACCCCAAATGATTTGTCTTACTTGGCCTTCCTGCAATCACATTTGGAATATTGTCACTACTGTTGCTATTATTGCCATTGTAATTAAGAAACAATAAACCCTCTCAAGAGAATGTCTTTCTAGAGGGCTGACTTGCCTGGGCCTTGCTCTGTCAAATGGGCAGGCAGACTCCAGCTCTGCTAGAGGGGTTTGCAGCCAGCTAAGGGCACCAGGTGTGTGGATTCTGCTCAGACCTGTCAGATGCCCTGGTCTGGAGATAGATAGCTTCATGACACCTGGCTGAGGTGATTTTCCTCAGGGGAGAAAACCAGAAGCTGGAGCATCAAACCCACCAGGTGCCGCCTTCCCCCTGCGGCAATCAGAGGCCTTAGCCTTCTGACAGGACAGAACAGGACCCTGAAAGAGGTAGCCAGGGAAATCCCTGCCTGGGGGAAGACAGGGATGCCTAATGGGGGGGGAGCCCATGGGGGAGGCAGGTGGGGGGGGCTGGTGGTGGTGGTGGTGGGGAATCTTCCTGTTCTGCTCACTTCTTAGAGCTCCTGAGATCACATAAGAGAAATGAAATGACATATATTTCTTGAAATGAATGTTCTAGAACAGAGACTATTTTCACTCAGAAAGGGTATGTATGATGCCACAGAACATAGAGGAAAGCCCAGGGACACTGAGAGAAAGAGGGAAGGAAGAGAAGTTGGGTCCCCTTGGCGGACCGACTCCTAGTGGGCAGCACACGAAGAAAGAAGCAGCCAGCACCCTTGTCACACATTTCCGGAGGCAAACAAAGTGATGCTGGTACTGTCCCTTGAGAGACAGACTTTTGCTAACATGGTGACATATTTTGCAAGCCACTCTCACTAGAAGTCTCCAAGAGTCACTTAGCTGTCAAGCATGGGTTGAAAATGGAAAACTGCATGAGCTCTAGTTGGTCAGTTTTGATCTTAGCATTCTGTTTAACAGTTTCCTTCCCATCCTTCACTGGTTATACCTTCCATCAAGGACTAGGACAGGGTGGGGCCACCACCACAAATCCACTGGCGGAACAAGACGCCACTGCATCTATCTATAGGAAATACTACATTAGGCAGGCCCCAAGAAGGAAGACAAGGGGGTGAAATGATAGAGAATGTTGGGCATACTGGTCTACCCAGGTGTCTGGAGGTGAAGAGCCCTGACTAATGGCCCCTGACTCATAGGCACAACCGAGTCAATACCTGAAACTAATGTTCTGTTGGAGTCACCACCTGTGGTACTTTAATGACACATGAACATGAGAATCAGGATTCTCAATAATGACCTCCTTGGTACAAAGGCCCGAAGACTTACTACGGATGTTAAAAAGGAGATGGGCACAAATGAGAGTTAGGTACCACTGGAAGACCTAAAAGAAGGTGGAGATTAGAAAACAGCTAAATTTATTCTTGTAATCAGCCCTGGTTATAGAGGCAGAGATGGATCAAGCTCTGAAATTAGCCAGCTGAAGGTGGCTCCTGCTTAGGAAAATTAAACATAGCTTGTTGTTCCTAGGAAGGCATTGAGAGTTAAAAAAGAAAAAAGAAAAGAAATGAGAGAGTCAATGAATACATCTCCTGTGTGAAACCCCAGAGGTGAGAATAGATAATTAGCAGCTAAGAAATTAAATAAGGCCCAGGGAATGTGGGAAACAAAGAGTTTTTTCCTTCATATAGAAAGAAATGAATTTCAATTAAAAATGATTAGTGGTAATGTTGAGTTCGGAGAAAATAGTAAATAGCTAGACTAATATTCATATTGCCTTATCATGGGCTAGAATTTAAGAATATTTTTCTCCAAAGGTTCATATGCTTTGGGGTTGGTCTTCAGTGTGGCCATGTGAAGAGGTGATGGCCCTTTAAAAGGTGAGACCCAGCAGGTGATAATTAGGTCACTGGGGACTTGGTCCCTTTAAGAGATTACTGGGGTCTCCTGGAGTGAGCAAGTTGATAGACAAGAACAAGCCTAGCCCCTCACAGCCTCTAGTTAGCGTGTCTCACCATGTTACTACCCCTTTACTTGTATGCATAGCACACTATCCATCATGTTCTGACAGGACCAGAAAGGCCCTCACCAGAGACCAAATGGATGGAGTCACTTGCCCTTGGACTTTCAACCTTCAAAACTGAACTATAAACATCATTTTTTCCCCTTTGAAAAGTTCCTAGCCTTAGACATTTTGTTATAGCAACAGAAAGTCGACTGAGACAATCGAGCACTCAGGCAATTTTCTGTAATGAAAACCTTCATGAGATGTGGCAGGATCACCTTACTACATGGGAGAAGGTAGCTAGGTACCAGGGCATTTTATGGTAGGGGGAATGCTTGCATCCAATCTTAGGATTTCCTGGGTGGCTAAGAAATAGTGTTCTGAGAAGGTAATGTTGGGAAGTAGTTGGTATGCCCTGGAAGGCTAGTTAGAAGTGACTGGGAACAAGACAGACTAGGGAGACAGGCTCTACCACACTAATGAAAGGTTAAGACAGAATAAGAGGGACCCAGGTGGGGGAGAGATCTAGGGGTTTTTAAGTGAGGAAGATGATACAAGAACCATCTGCAATAAAAGAAAACCAATCAGTCGAGCCCTCCAGGGAATGTGCCTGGGTTTGGGGCTGGCCTAGATTGGAGCAACGGAGAGCTTCTGACTAAAGAACTGAGCTACAACAGAGCTGGAAACCATCTACAAGCCTGGGTCACAGTAGCTTGGAGGAAGATGGGATGTGGTGAATGGCCAACGAATGTCTGCTTGGACTATTCCATGACTCACGGGAGGAAGAGGAGCTGAAACACGGAGCCCGGGATTGGGAGCAGGTGTGGAGACTGAGTTCAGCCTGTATACATTGAATTGAACTCCTGTAATGTCAGGTGGAAACAGTCAGTAGAAAGCTGGGGAAATGGCTTGTTAGGAAAGCAAGAAGACTTGAGTTCAAACTCCTGCCAACTGTATTGAAGCTGGACATAACTACATGTGCCTGTAATCTTAGTGTTGAGGAGTGGAGAGTGGGGGTTCCTGGGAGCACACTGGCCAGCCAGTGAGAGATTCTGTCTTTAAAAACAATGTGGAAAGCCGGGCGGTGGTGGCGCACGCCTTTAATCCCAGCACTCGGGAGGCAGAGGCAGGCGGATTTCTGTGAGTTCGAGGCCGGGCTGGACCGATAGCCTCCAAAACAATACAGAGAAACCCTGTCTCATTAAAAACAAAACAAAACAAAAAAATACCCAACAACATGGAAAGTGATAGAGGAAGATACCCAACATCCTCTTGTGGTCTCCTTAATCACATGTATAGGCACGAGCGCGCGCGCGCGCACGCACACACACACACACACACACACACACACACACACACACACACACACACACACTCCAGCATGCCATTCCCATCATGTAGAGTACCTACATTGTGCCACGAATAGCCATGGACAGTCCCATCTTAGACCTATAGCCCCTAGGTGGGACAGGATATGGATCTAAGACTCAGTTTCCAGAATGTCCTCTCCATTGAAGCTATCTACTACAGCTGCCCATTACACACCCCTGTGTGGCTTTCATAAGGACACACTGTAGGCCCGTTCTTGGGGCTTGTAACTCTGATACAGAGCCACAGACTGGGTTAGAGAAAGAGACACAGGGTCCTTGGTGTGAGTGGCATCATGGAAGCAATGGTGTGGGTAAAACTGATCAGAGAGAAAACCCAGAGAGCCATTGGCAGGCTGGAGAAGGCCACCCACAGAACAAAGGCAAAGATCTGAGCTGATATTTAGGAGGTCGGAGTTGGCTGTACTCACACTGCTTGGTCCTTCTCAACTGTGGACGATTTTATATGAGAGCAAGAGAGAGCATACTTGTTTTGGCTTATCTTTATAAGTGCACTCCGAGGGCAAAATTCCTGCAATCACACCAAAAGAGGTCATGTTATTGAACCCAGGAAGGCCCCAATTCATGAACAAATTTTATTTCAGCTCAAGTCGTTATCATAGTTACTAATCATTACCCCATTCAGGGTGCCACTCAAGAGAGCAGGTTCAGTTCATTTTGCTTCATAATTGTTTGCTGAATAAAAGTCGTTAATTCCTCTGTATTCATCCAAATTCTAGGTCAACTGCCAAGTCTACCCAGGTTAGTCACACATGTACACCCACCCCCCTCCCCAGACACACACACACCTTTCTATCTTTGTTTCTGCCTCAGCCATCTCTTTTCCGGATAGCTGTGATCATGAACCTATTGCTGAAAGTCCTGCTCTCTCTTGGGAGATTTCCCAGAAACCTTTCTTCTGGCCTCCCAGCCACTTCGTGCCCTGAGGGTCAACAACGAAGTCACTCTGGAATCTCAGGCCTTTCTTTAGGGACCCCAGACCATATGCTGTGTATCTCTCCCTGTCCCTGAGGCATGCCTCAGGGACATCATTTCACATATCCCTGACTTGCTTCTTCTCATGGAGATATTCTCAAGCAGCCCTACACACTGGGATGCTCATCCAACAGGCAGACCATGAGGTGGCAGAGGAAGACAAGGCTGAGAAAGGTCCGGGAGATGCCTGTATCTACAGGGCTTGCAGAGCAGCACAGGCAGGAGTACGAGGACACACGCAGAGTGTGGTGCTGAGGCTAGGGAGGTGACTCAGTGGACAAAGAGATTGTTGTGTAAGCATAAGTGGAGTTTGGGTCCCCAGAAACCAGGCAAAAGCTGCATAAGCACAGCAGCCATTCTGTGACCCCAGCACTTAAAGAGCAGAGGCAGGATCCCTGGCTAGCTAGACTCACTGAATGGGTGAGCTCCAGATTTAGCAAGAGACCCAGTCTCAGTAAATAAAGTAGAGGTTGATGGACGAATACACTCGATAGAAACCTCTTGCTTCCACACACATCTGACTGTGCATATGGACACATACATACAGCGTGTGTGTGTGTGTGTGTGTGTGTGTGTGTGTGTGTGTGAGAGAGAGAGAGAGAGGCAGAGACAGAGAGACACAGAGAGCACAGAGCGAACTTGTCCAGCTTTCAACTACAGTTTGACAAGGAAAGCCGAATGACTCTCCCATACAGAAGCAAGGAAGCCATAGTGCTCTCAGCATTAGCAGAGTCCAAACCATAAGGAATGCATGAGTAGCGGGAGTAGATGGCTGTGCTCCCTCAGGTTCCACTGCCTCCTTGGCCTAGTGGGAAGGCACTCGGCTAGGTGGACACTTACTCTGCGGTTGTTACACTTCAAAACTGTGTAGAATTTTTCTGAAGCCACACTCTGATTTGGAAGTGCTATGACAATGGCGGGGACATAGAAGTCAAATCCTTTGCTCGTCATGATTTTGGCAAACACATAATCCCCAACCTGTAGAAGAAAGCACATTTTACAGCAAGTAATTTGTTTAAAGAGCTCATACATAAACTAATACAGGCTTGTTTCACAGTAACCTTTGGTGACTGGCAGGTACTGGTGATAAAATTCTGACACAGAACTTTAAAAAAGCAGATAAGAAAGGGTTCTAGAATTCTCTGAGTTTATTGGGCCACACCTATATTTTGTGAGCACTTGGGAAAACCCAGTTTTGGTAGAAGTTTGGCAACTGACAATGGTCCTGGGACAGTCAGCAAGATGGTTAGGGTTCTGAAACTCACAAAGACTGGGCTAAAGGAGTGTCCTGGATGGAGACCACATCCTCAGTGTTAGGAGGGCTGCCCCCCACCCCACCCCCAGACAAAGGAAAAGAGTGGGTTTGGTGAATGTCAGTCCCAGCAGAGATTACGCAGAGGAACAGATGATTTTGCAAAAGGGCACAGAGTCTGCCAGGTACCTGTCAGTAATCAGGAGGAAGGTGCAGGGTGTGTGTTGTAGGTCTGGCTCAGGAAGTAGGAACAGGTTAACCCATCTGATCCCTTCCTGGCTTATACCATGCGAGAAACAGCAGCACTGAGGCTTTGAAAGGCTTTGCTTCCATGCCTTGCCCTCCAGTTCCATCTTGGTGTCAAGACAGTGGCAGGCAGATGCACCAGACACAGTGTGGTGTTTATTCATTTACAATCAGATGAGAACATATCCGTCAGTCTCATTTGTGGAAGGCACATTGGGGGTAACTGCATTATGACCTCACAGGTTAGCAGCGGCTGACTATAAAGTCACAGAAACTACTAGCTCTACACTTGATACACACAATGCAGGCTTCTGCAGTGAAAGCTTCAGGAACACTGTGAGTCACACAACTTCCTTCTCCCGGTGACAAGTGTCACAAGAGATTATAGAAGCCACTATACATAGTGACCAGCTACATTAAGAGGGAGTTGGTACATTGGTCATAAGCAGAGAAACTGTCAAGTGACAGGCACCAGAAACTGGCGGCTACTCTTCCTGCCCAAACACAAGCTCCTTAACAGGAGCCCAAGAGGGCCACATAGGGACCTTCGGCATCCTCTGTAATCCTAACCCTGTGGACAGTATAAAGCAGCGGTTCTCAACCTTCCAAATGCTGTGACCCTTTAATACAGTTCCTCATGTTGTGGTGACCCCCAACCATAAAATTATTGTCATTGCTATTTTGTAACTGTAATTTTGCTGCTGTTATAAATCATAATAAGAATATCTGTGTTTTCCAATGATCTTAAGGCCACCCTGTGAGATGGTCATTTGTCCCCAAAGGTTGAGAACCACTTGTATAAAGGGTCCCAGAAGGGATCAGAGAGTAGGTACCTGAAGTTGTGGGCAGGGCATGGCGCCCCCAATAGGTGTGATGAAGGAGATGGGTACAATCTTGGTTTCTCCATACCTGAAGTCTACCAGTGCATGGGTGGCACTCACAGATTTCTTCACAACCCCTGGAGGGAATCAGAAGAAACGAAACATGACGATAGCAACAGGTTTGCTCCACCCTGTGGTCTGTGCTGAGTCACAGCACATATCTAAGTCAGTGCACCCCACGATCCCTGGGCGGTGGGATAGTCAGATACAGTCTGATGCCTTCAGGGGTGAACACAAGGTCGAGGAATAGAATGCTCTGGCTTCGGAGGTGCAGGAGAGTTCACTCACTGAGCACCAGCAGTATCCATCCTGCTGACTGCTCCAGGAACAGCCTCCTACTGAGCACCTCCCACAACCAAATCTCCTTATCTGTTTATTCTAGTCCTGTGTCGTTGTCCTACGGAGACTGAACGCAGGCACTGTTAAATTGTGAGAGTACAGAGGAGATACAAAAGCCCACCTAAACCAGCTTTTGATTTCATTTGCTATCAGATAAACAAAAAGGTCACCAGGCTAAACACACCCCATGGCTTTCTTAAAAAAATGGAAAAAAAAAGCAACCACAAGTAGTTTGTCATTTCGTTATACTTAAAGAGAATATTACGTGTATTTTTCAAATTTAAAATTTTATCTATTTAGAAACAGGATCTCATTTTGTAGCTCTAGCTGGCCTATAACTATCTATGTAGACCAGGCTAGCCTCGAACTTACAGAGATCTGTCTGCCTCTGCCTCTCAAGCAATGGAATTAAAGACATGTGCCACTGTGTCTGGCCAATCTTATATTTTTCATGTGTGCATATTGTTATGCTGATGACTAAACACAGGGACCTGTACATTTAAGATAAGCACATGTAATTAGCAAAGTGTAGTATGCGGTCCCATGCCATTTCAAATCCTGTTTGGAAAGACAGGATCACTGAGGTGCAGGCAAGCGGAGTGATCACAGTCAAGCAGCTAATACAGGAAAGAGGGAATTCAGGTAAATGAAAGCTCGAGGTTAACTGGCCAGAAGCATATCCAAAGGAGTATCCTGCCTCCTCTGCTTATTTTTTCCCATTGTAACTTGTATCTATCAGCAGGGCAGAAATCATTATGAATTCACTGATGTAAAATGCTTCTTGTCATTGATCAACAGGAAGAATGAGCCAGTTTCCATGAGTAATAATCTCATAATGTTTGAGATGGGTCTTCTTCCTTGATGGTCAACATCTGGGCAGGACAGGCTACCCATCAGCTGGCCGCTCCCACCCTGTAGGAGACTGTCATTTCCTTCCTAGGTTCCTGGGAAAGATGTGGCTACATGGGAGTCCCTGCCATGATCCTGAGGCTAGCCGAAACAGCCAGCCAGGCTGAATGTGCACTAGTGTAGACCTGTCTTCAGGCAATGGGCACACAGTTCATTACTGCAATGCTGTCTTCTGTTGACAGAATATTAAATCAGACATCTCCAGAGGAAGGATTAGGAGGTTTTGAACAACAGTCACCAGAAAAGAGCTACCAATAAGTTGTCTATTAAAAGCTATTTGACTTTTGTTTTTAAAGAGGAGACATTACAGACTCATACCAACCATATGGTATGATCCAAGTTACTAACACTAAGAAGGACAGATGGACATCATGTACCTCTGAACAGGATGGCACCTGAGTGATATCACCCAGGTTGTCTTCTAGGCAAGAATGTATGTATTGACTCTAAGTTAAACCAAACTGTGTAAGGCCATCCTGTAATTGCCTGTCCTTTTAATGTTAACATCATGAATGTTTACAGGAATGGTTAAATAAAAACTCTAGATTAAGGTGTGGTGGCTCACACTTTTAATCTCAGCACTTGGGAGGCACAGGCAAGTGGATCTTTTTGAGTTTGAGGCCAGTATGGTCTACATAGCAAGTTCTAAGCCAGCCAGAACTACACAGTGAGATCCTGTTAAAAAAACAAAACAAAACAAAAAGCCCTAAGGGTACATGTTAACCAAATGTAACATGTGACCCTGGATTTGGATCTGCGCTAAAGAAAAAGTACAAGGCATTGGTAGGTGAGTATCAAAGGCAGAACCCACACAAGGGTGTACAGTGATGTCAGCCTCCCTGAAGGTCATTTTTATTGTGGGCCTATTAAGAAAGGCCTGTGTTTGTGAGAAATAGAGTTGTAATATGTGATGAGCTCTACCTAACCTCTAATAGTTCAGAAAAGGTGTGTGTGTGTGTGTGTGTGTGTGTGTGTGTGTGTGTGTCTGTCTGTCTGTCTGTCTGTGTGGAGGAAGGGAAAGTGAAAAATGTGAAAAAGTAGAAGACTCACAGATAATAAAATGTGACAAAATGTGAAAAAGTTAGTAAACCTGGGTAAAGAGAACTTAAGAACTGTCCATCTTTCTTGTAACTTTTCTACAAGTTTGATTTTTTTTTCCTTAAGAAAACCTGACTCTGCAGGGGGAGTCACAGTCTCCAGTGTAAAAAAAAAAAAGATCCCTTGACTCTGAAGGGTGGGAAAAGGCAAAGGATCTGCGGATTTCCTGCTCTCCCGTGGGCTGTGTTTGTGTATGTGTGAGTGCCGGTGCGCACACGCCTTGGTACACATGAGAAGGTCAGAGGGCCACCTCAGGTGCTGGTCTTCTCCTTATGTCTCAATCGAGGGCCTTTTGTTTACCACTGTGGATGCCAGGGTGGCTGCCCCGAGGGCTTCTGGGAATTCTCATCCATGTCTCCTATTTCCCCGTGGGAGTGCTGGCATCCCAGACGTGCACTATTGTATCTGACTTAACGTCAGTTCTGGGGCCCCCAACGCAGGTCCTCGTGCTTGCACAGCCAGCGCGTTAGCCACAGACCCGCTCCACTGACGGCCATTTAATTGGGTGGTGTTAGTTTACTGACTAGTCGGAGATCCAAATGACTAGCTCTGTACCTGAACTCAAATGTCTACTTCCTCCACATTGACTTATTTGAACCCAACCACAGCTGCAGATTTAAATGTTTTGATTTGGCAGCTCACATGCAGTTATGAGGATCTTCACCGGCTCCGCTTAACGCATTTAAGAACAAATTGCCATACCGTCTCAGGCACTTTAGGTGGCTGTGGCGTTAGCCCTGCCTCTCTGTCTCCCAGCCTGGGCATGCACAGCAGTGATGCCGGGAAAGCCTGAGTCGTTCTCCATTTCCCTGGAGTATTTACTGGCCAGCAATCAGACCCTAGTCCATAAGCCACCCATTCGGAACGCAGTCCTTCTGTACATTCCACTTAAATGGCAGATTCACTTAGGATCTTCTCCATGGCTTAATTTCAGAAAATTAAGATGTCTAGCCAGAGGGACCTCCTGTGATCCCCTTTCAGCTCCAAGCAAAGGAAGCTTCCCACCCCTACCCTGCCCACCGCCTCAGCACGGTACTGCTTTTATGCTTCGGCCCGTGAGCTATTTCAAATGCCTGGCTCTATTTCCTTTCATCCGATCAACTCCAAGTTCATTTTCCAGATGTCAGAGAAGACATCTTAGTCAATAGTTCTATTCGCATGCTGACTGGAAGCCAAATGTTTTGCTGAGAAGTTACTTCTCACTACCCACAGAGACTATCTAATTAAATTTGATGAATGGCTAAGCTTCTGCACTTTAACTTTTTGTTCCTTACAGGGTTCTCTAGGTTTTCTTCAGGGTCATCTTTTGCCTGCTGACCCTTCCCATGATGTTTCCAGAATCTCTGTCCCTTTCCAGACTCCAGACTCCAATGGCGTCTCTAACGTTTTCTGTCTGGCATCTCACGGGCACCTGCAGTTCATATCCTAAGAACACATCCATATCTCTCCATCCATGCCACTGAGTTATCTCTCCAAGACCCCTCTCAGCTTTAAAAGTGACTTTCCGATGCTCTGAGAGCAAAGTGCAAACTCCTAAGTACCACCTGCTTCGAGCGACCCCATGCTTGCCTCTCTGAAAGGGTGCCAGCTAGTTTTTACAACAACTTGACACAAGCTAGAGCTGTCTGACAGGAGGAAACCTCGACTGAGAAAAGGCCTCCATGCAATCAGACTGTAGGCAAGCTGGTAGGGCATTTTCTTAATTAGTGATTGATGTGTGTGTGGGGGGGCATCCAGCCCATTGTGGGTGGGGCCACCTCTGGGGTGGTAGTTCTTTCTCAGTGCTATATGAAAGCAGGGTGAACAAGCCAGGAAGAACAAGCCAGTAAGCAGCACCCCTCTTTGGCCTCTGCATCAGCTCCTGCCTCTGGGTCCCTGCCCTGTTTGAGTTTCTGTCCTGACTTCCTTCAATCATCAATAGTGATACCTAAATGTGAGCCAAAGAAACCCTTTCCTCCCCAAGTTGCTTTGGTCCTCACAGCCATAGTCACCCTAACTAGGACAGCTTTAATGTTTCTCATTGTTCTCTTGTGTTCCTGATTCTGCAACCTTCTCTGTGACATACTCAATTCTCTTTGTGGCTTGGTTGTCCCCTTACAGTACTGTATCTAACATGTTATGTATGTTTACTGTTTATTTGGTGGCTCTCCTGTGTCCCTTAGTAAGAAACAACTTCCCTGAAGATAAGAATATTCATGTATTTGTTTACTATATTATGTGGTTACTTCCAGGGCTGGCGAGATAGCTTGGGCAGGTAAGGTGCTTGTGGCTAAACCAGATGACCCGAGTTTAATTCCTGGAATCCATATCGTGGAAGCAGAAAACTGATCTTGTAAGCTGTCCTCTGACCATCGCCCCTCCCCCACACTATGCCGCATGTGCCCCGACAAATAATAAGTAAATGTAGACTGGCATGTTCAGAATATTATACACATATGCAACATAGTAGGTTGTAATAAAAATTTGCTCTCTATACAGATGAGAGATTAAGAGAAACATCATTTTTCTACTACTCTTTTGCCTCACCTATGAGAAAGAGAACTATTCTTTTTTATTTGAGAAGCAGAACATCTTTAGTCAAGCTCACAAAATGTCAGTGTTCTAGGGAAAGCTTGGGTGGAAACCTCTACTCCCCAGTGTCAGGTGGCTTAGCAAATGAGTTTGAAAATGTACCTGGAAAATAGAAGCCATTCTCCTCACATCTGGCAATGACCTTCTGGCCTCTGAGGGAATCTATTTTTCTTGATTTGATTTTCTTTGTTGGATACCCTTGTAATTTCTGCTGCTGAAAAAGACCAACAATAAGAAGTGATGAGCAAGAGGTAATGCAGACAGTAAAATTATGAATCGAGGGAGCCTTCTCATCAACTCTGTTCATGTGTGTACCACATAACCATCGGGGACACCTCTGTCCTACATTAACTAAAGAGCATCCTTTTCATAAGGGTAACTTTGGCTCTCTGTCTCTCTCTCTCTCTCTCTCTATATATATATATATTATTCCACTCTAAACTAAAATTATATATTTATATATTATATATAATGTATGTTATATATAATATAATTTATATAATATCTAGTTTTCCTTTTATTCAATTAGTTATTTAATTCTTTTACTCAAAACTAAATTATATATTTTATTGTTTTATATAATTATATTTAATATAAATGTTATGTATTATGTTATATATATTATATATAAATATATATTTTAGTTTAGAGTTCAAGAAAGGGAAACTTTTTAAAAATTATACATACAACTAGAATTCCTAGGATTCTAGATGGCTTCACAGTTCGACACAGATGACTTGAGAACCATGGTCTAAGCTGCTGCTTTCCTGAAACTGTGAGGAGACTAAGCTTTCAACAGAGAAGTCAGCCACAGTTAGCATCTCTGAGAGACAAGTATGAGAACGTGTGTACAAAAACACAGTGGCCCACCCCACTCCTCCATGACAATGATAAACCCTTAGAAACTCTACCTCACAGAACATAAATTCATGGACTATTGACTAGATTATCCTAGTCCTCACTTCTCCTGGTCATCAACTGGATTATCCCAGACCTCACTTCTCCCGGTTATCGGCTAGATAATCTATGAGCAAAAAGGCAACCAATAGGTTCTCATACTGAGATGACCTAGGTGTTAAAATGATTAATGAAGACTTAAAACCAGCAATTGCGATCATTTAAATACTTTAAAATTATAACTTTTTAAAAAAACAGAAATATAAACTGTTATTATATATATGGAAATTTTAGGGATAAAATAGAATATGCAGATAAACATTAAATCTACTTAATAATAGAACTGTCCTATCAGAGGAAAGACCAGTATACTTGAAGACAAACTAACAAAGGACAGAGAAGAAAAAAGAGTTTTAAGGAACAGTGTCTGTCTTCTGAGCCAAATAACTCCTTTTTGGCCCAATTCAGTTATAACTTTACTGATGTTACATTCAGGGCATTTTGGAAAGAACACAAGAAGACAATTTTCTTTATTTCCAGATTGTGTCATAAGAGTTAAAGTTGGAGTGAATGTCTTGGATATGTTGACTAATGAAAAAATGAGTAACATTATCTTACAAATGTCAATAAAGCTTTTAATTACAATTATGGGTCCCTCCCTCCTTCCCTCTTTCTATGTGTGTGTGTGCGCGCGCATGTGCATAGGAGTATGGGAATATGTGCATGTCGGTGTAGGTACCTACAGAGGACAGAAGAGGGTTATCCTATCCCCGGGTAAAGTTATAGGCAGTTGTGAACTGCCTGCTGTTGGTGCTAGAAACCAATTTCAGGTCCTTTGGAAGAGTAGTACATGCTTAAGAACTATCTCCCTAGCCCCAATCCAAAACAATTTTGAAAAGCAGTAATTTGGATGTTTTCTACTTTTTTATTTCAAAACTTACTATATAACCTACAATAATGAAGAAAGCATGACATTAACGTTATATGGATCAATGGAACTGTCTTGAAAGTCCATTAGTTAAAGTTAATAATTGCAGTTAATTTTTTATTTGGAGGGAAAAATCAATACTTTTTTGGGGGGGTTGTTTTTTTTGAGACAAGGTTTCTTTCCTTTTTTTGTTTTTGTTTTTGTTTTTTGAGACAGTTTCTTTGTAGCTTTGGAGCCTGTCATGGAAATCACTCTGTAGACCAGGATTGGTCTTGAATCTCTGCCTCCTGAGTGCTGGGATTAAAAGTGTGCACCACCACCATCTGGCAAAACTGATACTTTCTTAAACAGTAAATTTACCATATGGCTGATAAATATGCATCTTGCTAAGATAAATGGAATCTTATAATCATGCAAGGACTTACAAGCAAGTATTGATATCAGCATTATTAATGATGATAAAAATATATTCAAGTGTCTATTAACTGGGAAGGGGATAAACATGATGTGGTATACAGTAAGATCTTATACAGCCACTTACATATGAAATACACAGAGAAAGCTAATTTATAGAGCTAGAAGTTGATTAGTGGTCACCGGGAGCTGAAGGTATGACCAGATTATTTTTGTTGTTGTTGTTGTTCACTCTATAACTCACAATTTAAAAAGTAACCCTTAACATGAGGAGCCCATTTCCAAAGAACACAGTGAATGGGAATTACAAGAAGGGACACCTGTATTAAAGGTCCTAGTGGTGTTTTCATTCAGGAGCTACTCTGCCACATCTGAACAGTCATTCTGGGCCATTGCTCTCTAAGTTCCTGTCATAGTCCAACAGCTTATTAAAGATGAGTAGTGACTAAGTCCCAATCAATATAATGTCATACCTTTATAGCCTTTGCCATTTTTAGGACAGGGATTGCAGAGAAGTTCATTCACTCAACTAAAATCCTATCACAACACTTCTGGGCCTCAGTTTAGCTTTATATTGAAGAAATTAACCACAGTGTTGTCACTGCATAGAAGGTGTCCACTTGACACAACCTAGAATCTGGGAAGAGACTTTCAATGGGAGAGACATAGGGTTGGCTTGTGGGCGTGTGCATGTGTGTGCTGGGGGATGGGATGGATTGTCATGATTGATCGAGTTAGTTGATTTTGGAATACCCAGTCCACTGTGGGCAGCACCATTCCCTAGGCATTGGGCCCTCAACTGTGTTAGAGTAGAGCTGAGCAACAGGCAAACAAGCAAGTGGGCGTGAATGCATTCATTTCTCTTTGCTCTTGACTGTGGATGTGATGTAAGTCTAGCTGTTTGGATTTTCTGCCATAGTGACTTCCTTGCAATGATGGACTGTAAGCTGGGACTGTGAACTGAAATAAAGCATTTCTTCCTGAAATTGCTTTTTGTTGGGGCATTTTATCACAGCAACAGAAATGCAACTAGAGCAACACTGTGTTAGTTCTGTTAAAAACCACTGAAATGAAACAACTGACATGTAAATTACACTCCCACAAATCTGCTTTTTTTGTGCGGGGGCAGGGGGAGTGTTGTAAAAGTAGGTGGCCATTTGTTTCTGGCTTGCTCTATATAACTTCGGTCACAGTGTTTTGCATATAGTGGGCCAGGTGAGTGAATGTGCACAGAAGTTTCTGTGTCTATACTGAGCCTCATCCTCAAGCCTGACTCTACTTTTAAACCAAAACAGGAGCTAAATAGACCCTTCCCACCTCCAAATTTCTATGCTGCCCAAGCTGGGGGCCTTCTATCCTAGGATATTATTTCCTTTTTCTTTGTCATTAACTTAGTAATTACGAGAGTGCCCATCAAAGTCATTTTTCAGGTTCTCCTCTTTATGGACCATCAAATGCCCCCTTCATCATGACACACACTGCCAATTGGAATGTGGTTTTCCCTGGCATTTTGAGGCTGTCTTTGGCAGTGTGATAGCCATAAAACTGTAGCTGTGAATTTGCTGTGCTATAATTTTATCACAAACAAGTATGCAGCACGATACTTTATGAGCTCATCTGCAGGCTCTCGCTTGGGAGATCTTTAATTCATGATGGAGATGACCATAAGCATACAAATAGCATCAGGCAGTTCCTGAGTCATGATTCACATTCTGTTAGTTGAGTGGCTCATCTTCCTCAGTGCCTGATGCAAGTGGGTCTTCTGTATCATCTGTCATTGTGATGTTTGCTGATGCTTTGGGGGTTCATTAAAAGGAGTAGACACATGGTCTGTTTCTTCAGAGATAAAAATTCAGGCATGGATCTTCAGAAGAGGAAAATCAATGAAATAAGGGGTTAAGGACTCTTCAGGGGCCTGCAGGATATAATCTATTCCTTAGGTGAGTGTTTCCTGCAGTCTTGAAAGATGTGGTCCAAAATGTACAATGCATGCTGCTCATTTGCTATGATAGTTCCACGTAGCCAGAATTTGTGTTCTGCCCACACCCCTTCTTTGGAAGCTGTGAATCACTGATCCAATCAGCCTACCAGAGAGAAGGCCAGCATCATTGGATGTATTGGTAGCATTGATGGTGGATGCTACCTCCTTATTCCAGAACCTAAGCCCTCACAGAAAGTTCAGAATAACCTTCTGCAGTCTGAAAATGGTCTCGGGAGGATGAATCTGCACCAGGACACAGACAATACATTTCTAAATGCGGCCAACTGGTTGTGTGAATGGGCAGCATCTCTTGATCCTCTGACAAAAACCACAAGCTTTCGACAAATCCTTTAGTTTTGTGTTTCTGTCTAGAAAGATCACTTCTGCATTCTAGGAGATAACTAAACCTCATGTGTACCAGGACATGGATACTAATGTGCTACTCATATTTTCAGTGCCAGAACTGTGAACATGAGTTCGCAGATTTCTCACCCAAAGCACCTTGCAGCCAAAATTCACTGTGGGTGTCCTTGTAGAATATCCCAGTCACTAGGAAAATTGAGAGACTGGAATATATTAAATATTAAATCAGTGATGGTGTAAAAAGCCCACCTTATGTAAAGTTTATAATCTCTGTGCCTCTTGACACCCATGTTCACATCATCAAAGATCAAGTTGGCTGCCAGAGAGTCTGCCAGCCTCCAGACAGACCACAGTCTGCTATTCCAAAAGCCACATGTGCACAGCAATTGCAGAGAGGCCACTTCCTCTTTAGGATTCATCAGTGTGGCAAGTTGCTCAGAGAACCCATGTCTGAAGCCCTTTGTTCAGGTCCACAGACTATCACAACATTGATTTGACTAGACTCCTTTGACCTCTGGGTTCCAGCCAGAAGGACATTGATGGGTATTTATTTTTACATTTTTAAAATGGGTTTGAGGTACAAATCTATGAAGTCAAGTTCGCCTCAAACACCAGGTTCTTTTCTCTCTTT